GTTTGTATATATGTATATATACATATACATACATATATATATATATATGCACGGCAGCCGGATGAATTCTCGGAAAAGTTGAGCCTTTTCAGGTGTTGGGGAAATCAGCGGGCACACTGCTTAAGCCCCTCCTGAAGCGATTCTGCATTCTGGGGCGGTTTATAGAAAGAACGCTCCCAAAATGATCTTACAAAGGATTAACTAGGGCCCATGTGGGCATGACTAGGTGGGCTGCAGGGTTCTGAAAACATGGAACAGATCAGCCAAGCGATGTTGCGATATGCTCGTGACTGATTCCTGAACTGAGAGAAAGAATCCCCCATTTATGGAAACATACGGGGATACTAATACTAATATCCTTAAACCCTGAACCCTATCGGGTTTATAGCCTATGTAAGCCCTGTTTAACCAGACGGAGCGGGAGCTGCGAAATCTTGGTTGAAGATTTCGGGCCCGATACGAGTAATTTCTGCTTTGAGCGCTCTGCACGATTGCTTTGCGATTCCGTAGGTTTAGGGTTTATGGTTAAGCGTTTACGGCTCAGGGTACGTAGGGTCATTGAATAATTGGAAGAAGCAAAATTACCCGCCATCTACCCACCCATCCTACAGCCTAATCCCTGATCCTGAAACCGCCACCCAAAGCCCTAAACGAAGTCCTAAGCCATAAGCTGAGAGCCTGTCCCCCCCAAAAAACCCCAAACGCAAAGCTCTGAGCCCTAAAGCCTAAGGCCCCCGTCCGTAAACCTTAAGCCCTAGACCCTGTACATCCCCTAAAACCCTTGCATAATCTTGATATAGATTTGACACAATCTCTATATAGCCCGTAGAAAGCCCTTATATACACTCAACCCGTCTATAATTTTGTACAAGTTTGTACAAGCTTTCCATACCCCTAATCCGTGCCTAAACCCTCAAAAAAGCCATGGCAAGCCTAGCACTAAAACGCAATAGCTAAACTTTCAACCCCAAAGCTTAATCCTTTCATGCTGAACCTTAAACCCTGAGCCCTAAAGCCTGAAACCTAAACCCTAACCCCTTACACTCTGACGCGCTCCGTCATGTGGGGAGACCGTGCTTTGGGGTAAAAGTTGCAGAAATTACTGCGTTTCGCAGGAGGTTGCATGGTTGCGCGGAATATTGTCAAAAATATCAGCGCCACGTCGATATCAGATGAGGTTGTTGCAGGTTTTTGGTGTCAACATGTGGAAAATCCATGTATTTATGCAAGGTGCAGTTCACTTCAGCTATGTCACACACGCATTTCGTGCGACGGTGCGTGGCCGATTTTGGCCCCTTCTCAACATTATTGCATTGAACAGGTCAAACAGGGCGTAGCAGACGGAGCAGGCAGTGTTAGCACTATCAGAGGCTGTATCTGACATGCATTTTTTCCCACTACGCGCGGTGGTCCCGCATCAGGACATAGACTTCGTTCCACTGGGCGCAGTCTTTCTGGTTCTTGGATGCGGTTATAATACGAACGTTATCATGGCTTGGGCATGGATTGTCTGGTAATTGGATGCGCTCGAACATGAACGGTATTATAGTTTGGCTTGGATGTTCTGGTAATGGGATACTCCCGAACATGAGCATCATGATGGCCTGGGCATGGATGCTTTGGTGTTATCATTTTGCATGAGGGTTCGCGAAATATTGCGCTTTATAGGCAAATATGGCTGCAGCTGAAGGGACCGTAATTACCCCTCCCCCGCCACCCCGCCCCCCTAAACTTCCCAGCCGAGCCAAACTTGGCTTGGTCGATGAGACCTGGGCTGTCGGAGAACCCTAGTCGTCGGGCGAACCCCTTAACCCTAAGCCCTAACCCTATAAAATCTTCGTATCTTCCCTGTATACTATATTCCCCTATTCTGTACCTACCCCTAAAACCCTAAACCCTAAACCCTAAACCCATACACCCGAACCCGCGTCAAGCCTAGGATGTGCCTCTCCTTGGCGGCCTGGGCCCTGACTCGCGTGGGCCTGGTTTTCGTTTTGGGCCTGTGCCTCCTCGGAGACTTGTCAAAGGTATTGGGTTTAGGGTTTAGGGTTTAGGGTTCAGGTTTCAAGGTTAAGACTTTTGCTTCCTGGTATTTCGTAAGGAACAAGGTCATTGAGCTCTTATCTCATCCC